TTTCCTTGTCTGCTTGTCATCACCTCTACTACCTCTGTCATGATCTGCACTGTAGACGGCATCACTCTTAACCATGTTGTCTACCAGCTCCTCTGCATCTTCCTCAGACCTTCCCAAGAAGAACCCATTGCTAGCAGTATCCAATCTTGCTCTATACTTTGGAAGAGCACCCCTGTAGAATGTGCTCAGCAAACTCTCCCTGGAGAAACCATGGTGGGGGCATTGTGCTTGATAGCTCTTGAATCTCTCCCATGCTTCACTGAATCCTTCCAAGTTCTTCTGTTGAAAGCTGGATATCTCATTCCTCAGCTTAGCAGTTCTTGAAGAGGAGAAGAATTTCTCCAAGAATGCTCTCTTGCACTCATCCCAGGTGGTGATAGAATCACTTGGTAGAGACTTCTCCCACTGACGTGCCTTGTCTCCCAAAGAGAAAGGGAATAGCTTGAGCTTGAAGGCATCCTCTGACACACCATTGGTCTTTGACAAGCCACAGTAGCTGTCAAACTTGTCCAAGTGGTCAAATGGGTCTTCTACAGGTAACCCATGATACTTGTTGTTCTCGATCACGTTGAGGAGTCCTGCTTTGACCTCAAAGTTGTTGGCTTCCACAGCTGGCGCACGGATGCCCAACCTATTGCCATGGAGGTTGGGGCGGTCATGAGTGCCAATAGGGCGAGCTGGGCGGGCTGGGTGAGCTGGTGGGTCTTGCCCGTTGACGTTAACCAGTGGCTCCATGTCAGTATCCAACCTCTGTTGCTGAGCTTCTTGCTCTGCTTGTCTTCTCTGTCTTGCAATCTCTCTTTCAAACGCTCTGATATCTGGAACTCTTGGAACAAGGTTTGTTGTGCCCTTGCTCCTCAAGTTCATACACCTGAAATCCAAAGAGAGATGAAGATAAAGAATCAGTAACAAAATAAAATAAAAATGACTTAGTCTCAAGCAAGTGACTAAATCTCAATGTTTTAATCTACTCAGAATTTGGCAACGGCGCCAATTTGATGTTAGGAGTTTTCAAGGCTCCTAAGGCAAATGTTGTAGTATAGGGAAGTTGTCGAACCAGTTCTGAGGGATTTAAAAGCACCGAGAATACAAGTACTAGCTTAATCTAAGTGCGATCATGTGATTGATTGGTTTTTAAGGTCAACTAAAACTAGAATGCAATAAAAGATATAACTTTGACAAAGAAGGTAAAGGAGAACTCATGGGTATAGGGAATTTGACTTTGGGTGATCAAGTTTCGATCTAAGGATGGCAAGCGATCAATTAAACTGTCTACCTTAGGCCTAGATACGAATCTAAACAAGCTCTATGTCTAGATGAATGTTCATTTACTACCATAACTCAAGCATCAAATGTCTTTGGTTGAATATTATGAAAGTAATCATTAAGAATAGATCTATAAGCCATCTTAACACCTTTAACAACAAGTGTCCCTGGTAAAGACTGTTAAAAGCTTAAGAGAGTTGACTCAGACATTTCATCGAACACTTTGT